CTTGCTACAGCATGTTACACTTGTCTTGCTTCTGCTTGCTACAGCATGTTACACTTGTCTTGCTTCTGCTTGCTACAGCATGTTACACTTGTCTTGCTTCTGCTTGCTACAGCATGTTACACTTGTCTTGCTTCTGCTTGCTACAGCATGTTACACTTGTCTTGCTTCTGCTTGCTACAGCATGTTACACTTGTCTTGCTTCTGCTTGCTACAGCATGTTACACTTGTCTTGCTTCTGCTTGCTACAGCATGTTACACTTGTCTTGCTTCTGCTTGCTACAGCATGTTACACTTGTCTTGCTTCTGCTTGCTACAGCATGTTACACTTGTCTTGCTTCTGCTTGCTACAGCATGTTACACTTGTCTTGCTTCTCCATGTACAGCATGTTACACTTGTCTTGCTTCTCCATGTACAGCATGTTACACTTGTCTTGCTTCTCCATGTACAGCATGTTACACTTGTCTTGCTTCTACTTGCTACAGCATGTTACACTTGTCTTGCTTCTACTTGCTACAGCATGTTACACTTGTCTTGCTTCTACTTGCTACAGCATGTTACACTTGTCTTGCTTCTACTTGCTACAGCATGTTACACTTGTCTTGCTTCTACTTGCTACTGCTTCTCTTATACAGTATGTTACACTCGTCCTGTTTCTACCTGCTTTCATGTATAGCCTGTCATACTGCTTCCTTAGCATGTTATGTTATTCTTTCTATGTACTAAATAGTGTACTTTTACTTTTCTTTTTACACTGCATGCCTAGCTACTTTGATACACTATGCCTTAGTTTAGGATAATCTAGTGGTTAGGAACTTGTTCAAAACTAAAACTAAGCCAGGAGGTGCTACTACGAAGAGACTCGGAGCAAACATCGTGGGCAGCGCAACGAGGAGTAATTTCCAGGTGGATCTGCAGCAACGAAACATTTTCACATCACCTACACATTTTCTTTAGTTTAAATAACCCGTAGGATCACCTCTTTAGGCTTTTTGCACAACTCTATTGTGCAATTATAAGTCCTAACGTTTTAGGATTCCGAGGTTACCGTATGGTACGGTGTAAATCCTCCTATCCTTTAGGCTGATTGCACAGTCTGACGTTGTGCAAACATAAGTCCTAAATCTTAAATAATTTGCAGGATTGAAACATCAAATAATTATCTCTTCAAAGACATAAAGCCAAACAATAGGATAGTTAGGACATCTCTGGGGTTTCTCCTGGATCTGTGATGTCCCCTACTTTTCTTTCATTTGTATTCCTTAAATAATTGTTCATATTTTGAGTCATTCCCATTTGATTTTCCCATGTCCAATCGTGAAAACCTAAACTTTGAAATCTTGAAAACAAAACCACCTGATCTTAATCGAGAGTTTTCTTAAGTGATTTCGATCATTTAAGATGTAATTAACTATAGGGGCTTGCCTCTATAGGGAACCAGGAACCCAGATAAAATAAACCCTATCTAATTTTTTATGTTAGATAGGGGAACTTGTTGGCCTTTTTATAAAAATATTTCACAGACCAAACGGATGTCACAAATTCTTTAGTCTGGGTGATTGAATCCCTATTACAAGTGATACATTTATGTCTTTGGGATAAGGGTATTACCTGTAGTATCGTATTCACTCGTCTAAACTATTTAAAATATGAGACCCGTTTGGTCTCACTTATTTTAAAAATTAAAAAGTTACTTCTTTCAAAAAGTTATTTTTATATTTAAATTATTTTTAAAAATCACAAAATCATCATCTTTTCAAACTACGAAAGTCAAGTTGAACATAAAAACGGCCGACAATGATCTATATGCGAAACTCAAAATAGAGGAACTTAAAATCAAAACTTGCAAAGGACATAATACTTGTAGATATGCCACTTCTCATACCAACTACGATTTAATTACATATGTCCCTCTTCTTGCATCTCCAGCTATTCAGTCAAATGAAACGGTTTCGCTTTTCCATCTTTTCTGCAGCCATCTCACATCTAGTGTTCAAAGCTGAAGAAAACTAAAAACAAATGTGCAAAGCCAAAGCTGTGTTATGCCTTTTGAAAATATTATATCATTTTTGAAGCCGAAACCTTGTCGTGCCCTTCAAAATTAGTAATCCTTTTTAGCTGAAGCCGTACTGTACCGTACAATTGAAGCTATATTCAAACCTGAAGTAGCACTTGTACCTTTGAAGCCATTTTCAAACTCAAAATCGTACTATGCTATAACCTTGTAACTGCCTTCGAACTTGAAACCGTGTCCTTAAAAGTTGAAGCTGTGCCCTTGTACGCTAGCTTGCTATCTTCACAACCGTTAATAAAAAATTCATGTTATATTCCATCCTTTTCTTAACGTTATATTGTTGGATTAAATGTTAATATAAGAATAAATTAAAAAAGTTAAACTAAATCTTTCTGAGCAACACAATCTTCTACTTGACTTATTATTAAGCATTAATTTTCTTTTAAAATGTCATTTGAATGAAACCACCATATTACAAAGCTTTTATTTGGATTCATTAATTTTTTCTTTTAACTTTTTATTAGCAATTTTGATTATATGAAAATATATGAAAAAATATAATTATATATGTATATATTTTAATGACTATATGAACCTACAGATTATATATTTATGTAGCCATTTATAGAGTTTGTTATTAAATACTAACAATTTATTTTTTTTCCAAAATTAAAATTAATAATATAGTAGATAATATTAGAAATTTTATATTACATATGAATATTTTATAAAATATAACATGTTAGTAACATGCGGTGTCTATTTTTTGTAGTTATGTTGTATGGCCATATTCATTTTGTGTTCGTATCTCTTACTGTCAATACCCCTATTTTATAGTCCCATACCATTCCAAACTAAACTGATAGTTCTTGGTTCGATTTCCGGTTTAAGAATCTTTAGGATTTTTTTTTTTTGTTTTGTTTTTTTTGAGGTGGATTAGCTTTTGATTTTAAAGGATTTTTCAATTATTAACTCCAAGTTGATTTGATTTGACAGTTTTTTTTTTGTTCATGGATCACTCAAACTTCTTTACAGTTTTAAAAAAATTGTGATGATATAGAAATTAAGAATAATTAGGAATAGTTTATATATATATATATATATATATG